TATGTATAATTTCATTGTCTAAATGTCTCACAACTCCAGGATGTGTTTAATGTTTTATAACATCTAAAACCACAAGATATAAAAGTAGTGTTAACACTATAATATTAGAATCTATGAATGTTTGGCACAAAGGTGTGTTATTGTTCAAGTCTCAGTGATCAGATCAGCATGTTCAATCATGTGTCCTTGACCTTCACTGTGTATATTTTTATTATACTGTATTGTAGGGCTGGGCGATTTTCCCGATTTTATCGATTAATTCAAATTTATTGTTTTGCCACGATTCAATTTTTTAGAAATCGAGGAATCGCGATTTTCAAAAGAAATATTACCAAATGTTAGAATTAGACACTTTGACAATATGCTGGTGATAACAGTAAAGAGAAAAGAACGATCCAACCGCATGTCGGCGCACATGATTAACCGCTCATGTGTGACGCGCTCTGTGAAGGACCATAAATTTAGCGTTAGGCATCATTCACACAGCGCTTTTGTGTTGACAAAGATGCATGTTTTACCAATTCCACTGCCCGCGTCGCAAGAAGATGGGAGTGAACTTCTTTTAACTTGAATATGTATAAGACAAGTTTGTACAATATGTAGTTGTAGTTTTTGCATATTTTCTGCAAAGATATTTAACAAGTGATCTGTTTGCCATTTACATCATGTTGACAGCTTCATGTGTGCTGCACTTGGAATAGAATTTTCTTTAACTAGAGGGTTAATAAAGAAAAAGTTACTTGAATCATGTTGTAGTTACATTTTCAAGTTGACTAGTTAAAAATCGTTAAAAAATCGAGAATCGGTCAAACATTCTGGAAAAATCGAGATTTTAATTTTTTGCAAAATTGCCCAGCCCTACACTATACTATTTTTGCCCCGATTTACAGTCTGGAGAAGTTGACGCTAGTTGCCGAAATTCAGAGCCAGTCTGCAGATTTGTGTTGACTGATTTCATAATAAATCGTGTGGTGTGTGATGGTCAAAGACTCCGATTTATTTAGCTTCAAACTATGATTCCATCCAGTCGGAGGATTCAAACATGATATTTTTAGACCGATTTTAGAACACATTTTTTTCATTTGTCATGCGCCTCCTAGCAACAAGTTTGTGCGTGAGTTTGTTGTGATCAGTCGTTTAGTGTATGATGGTCCGTTTTTTCTCTGTGACTAATTACAAAGTAAAGGCGGGCGTACACGGTGCGATTCTGAAGGTCGGAACATCGTGAGCTCTGGCACATGTCACGATTGAGTTTATCCGAAAATCGTACGGAGGCAGTCACACACGACACAAATGTACTACGATTTTACAAACTCTGACGTAAGCATTATGTTTCGCGCCATTCATAAAATATGGATTCTGAGGACGAAATAGTTTGCTTTGTGGCAGGCGGCTTGTGACGTCCAAAAAAAAAACGAAGACAAAGGACATGGCAAAGAGAATGGCTGAAAAGCATGGACTTTCTGTTCTTCATGAACTCATGGGAGTAGGCCATTTCTGAATTTCTGCTCTTTTTGCCGGAAATACAACAGGCATATTCATTCATAAAGCTGAACAGCAAATTTGGCACATTCGGAATAACAAATAAAAAATAGAACTGTATAATTAAACTAAAATTATTATAGACTATGGTTTTTGTCATCTTCTGATTGGTCAACTTCAGATGGATCGCCAAATCGTCTCGTTCAACAGCACATACGCCACAAATTTAAACCGACAGCATCCGATTTTTTTTGACGTTTGAAAATTATCGGGACGACGGGAGGTGCTCGTAACGTCTCGGATCGGCCCGTAATTCTTCTCACACGGTACCCGCGACCATGCGAGCATCTGCGATTTTCTCCCGAGAGAAAAAAATCGCCTGCGAGCTCCTACGACAGCAAAAATCGCACCGTGTACGCCCGCCTTAAGTG